TAAAAGAGTGCAAAAGTAAGCCAAAACAGTCGTGAAATTTCTCAAGATGCGAAAACTAGCCTTGTAAAACAGAAAAATACTCAGAAAAACACGAATTTGAAAACAAAAAAAGGCCACATTTTGAAAAACGGTATTATTTAAGAAAAAGAATACGAAGTTGAGCAAGAAATACTAAATTAAGGGTATGCCTCACTGCGCTGTATAAAGTAATTTAGAGTGTGCAACCATACATGAGTCATAAATGTACGAGGCGCCCAATTCTATCACGGTCCTCTTGCTTTTTCGCTCGTCTTCTGGATTCTCCGGATTGATCTCTGATTTAATATGCGTTGCTATACGGCCACCAATGCGGTTCTAAAACAGAGGCAACTTTTACTGGACATTTTATTTGCTTGTTTTGCACATCACACAAATGAAACAGATAAAGAAATTAGAAAACCGATAGAAGCAACTCTTTTCTGCCTGGCTAACATGGCAGTACGCGAATTTTAAAGATATTTTTAACAATAATCTTTTGTCTCCTACAAACTTTTGATACATTCACTGCATTGTGGTGTGGGTGCGGCAGCTGACTTTGCAATATCGAGGTGTCATGGGAAAAAAAACTTGATAGCTTTACAAATGCAGAGCAAACACGGTGCTAGATTCTGCTCGGCTAAGCCTGAACAGTTCTGAGCATTGTTAACCTGACCAGCAAAAGACAATGCAACAGCAATAGCATTCAGAAAAGTATGGAATGAAGAAAATAGCGGGCCGCGCTGCCCAACATATCTTCTCACTGGGTCTACGGCAAAGAAGCCGCAACTGGTCAGCGAGTATCTGCCGAGAATTTCAAGTAACCAAAAAATGCCACTAGAAGACGATAGAGATTGCATATATCTATAACTGTAGTAGCTGTCAAGAGATGAACCCGCGACCGACCCCTCCGGGATGTTGATAAAATATCATGCGATGTTCTCGAAATCTTTAAAACACGGCGAAAGGCCGAACACATCAAAACCTGGACGGTGAAACGATTTTTTTGTTCAGCAAAGGAGAATAACACAGGAATGTTAGCCTGTCGCGTTTATCGTCAGTAAAAAAAGGGCTTCATAAATCTTTTTTCAGTTTTACTCGCCACGAATCGAAATATTTTTTCTCGAACTAATTTCCAACAAACCCTTCAAAATCATTCATGCTATTGCTCATTATGACCAGCGACAATGTCGAAGCTAAAAAATTTTATACAGAGCTCAAATTCATCCTAATCAATAAGCCTGCATACACAGTGGATTTCAGTGGAACAGCTCGGCGAAGAGAAATAAATGGGGAACGTTGCATTAACAGGAAAGGTCTTGAGGGTCAAAATGACTATGAAGAAACAGCTTACTCGGGCTTCTAGTACTACCACATCCAAACCAAAACGCCTCAACTGTCGTGCTGCTACAATGCCAGCGATGCCCGCACCAATTACTATCACGCGTTTTTGATAAGGCTTCAGTGGCGCTGAAAAGATAACATTTTTTCCACTGAAAAACGAATAAAACGAAGCAAATATGTTGTAAAATGGATCATGCAAGATTACGCTGCTATTCACAAATAAAGAAGCATTTCAGAAAATGCGATTGGAACATCAAATTCAATACCATGTACTTGAAAAAGTCAAAAAATTATTGATCAAACTCGGCCTACTACTAATGCAACATAACAGTAAAACTTACGACCGGAAGATGTGAAAATACCCACATTTATATAACCAAAGCGCTGAAGGAAATTAAATATGCGACGAGCAAGCGATGGATCACCTGAAAATACACTTACAGAAAAACAGAAAAATTACAAGGCAAAAAAACGGATGTCGAATTAATTCGGGGAAAACAAGTACAATAGTGGCATACTCATCCTGTTTTTGTTCCGAATAAGGCATTTTATCAGGTATTTGCTCGATTTTCACTCCAGTTCTGGTTTAATGTCTTTTTGGCTATATTTTGCACCTTCTAATTGGTGCAAATCTTGTTGTGAAATTGGTTTGTTGTTTTGCTGCAAAAGTTGCAAAAAATTGCAGAAGAAAAATTTGTTGCAAAAAATTGCAAAAGAAAAATTTGTTGCAAAAGTTGAAAATTTTTGCAAAATGTTGCAAAAAAAGTGCAAAAAAAGCAAGTTGGTGCAAAAATTCGAAAAAAAAAAAACAAAATTAACTCATATCAAGATCCTAGTTGTATTTTGTAACTTCATGGCCGGAACTGCATCTTCCCAGCCGAATTTTACGCATTTCTGACTAATCGCACCATATCATCCCAGCTGCATAAATTTGGCATTGCCTAGTGACGAAAACGAGGAAAGGAGCACCCCATCTGAATGGGCACATCCCTAGAATTGACCACTAGAAAGTTTAATGGGACGCTTGCTGTAAACTTACTATTGTACGGAGCTGGAATTTCCTTCATGAAATCGCGGAACTGAAGTTCTTCACATATATTTCGCCGCCACATTTCTAGCTGAAAAAATGCTATTCAGAATGTAAGCGAACGGCATCAAATGGCTTCCGCCTGTCACTGATCCTTTATTTCTCTTTGGTCTTAGAATACTGGCTCATTCGATTTTTGTAAAGCTAATTGACTTGATGCAGAAGGCAGAGAGTTGGTCTTCACTACTGGAACAGTCAATTCCTCGATGATTCGTTCAGTCATTTCGGCGGTAAATTGGTACCAGCATATGCCGAGAACATGACTTTTGACTTATCTGTGAATAGGACGGAGCATTTCTTTCTTACAGGGCCGTAACACCAAACAAAGCAAACAGAATCAAAACAGTCACAGCGTGAGGATACAATAATCTCAAGTTCAAGAAAAAAAAGGAGTCAAATTATGGGTTACAAAAACTGGCAAGAAAATCTCAAAAAAAAAAAGATT